CCAACCATGAAAGTTATGTGTTCTGTTCTTACAAGTGTTTAATCTCCAATCTGGAAAAAAAATTTTCTAGCTTACAAATACTAATTGTATGAAAAATGTAATGACTGCCCATTTGTAGATGCATTACTTGTGAAAATTTACATACTGCATCATTCACAAGTGTGGCACACATATGTATTGCTATAATAATAGAAAAGCCCTTTATAGAAATAAAGATGTAGCGGTAGGAATAAGTTCTTTGAATAAAAATTCAGTCATGTGGGGGATGAAAAGAATAATGATTTGAAAGAAAACAGTGTAGCAGAAATTATAATAAAAAATCAAGAACCTAGGGTCTAGTTCTGGCTCTGCAACTGAACTTGAAAGAGCTTAACCAATGCATTTTTCTGTGAGTTTGTGCTTCTACATAACAAATAGTGAAACTGGATGGCCTCAGTACACTGATTGAACATTGAACTCTCTGCTCCTCCATAATGAATAACAGACAGAAAATAAAAAGTCATAAGGTTTCAAAAGAATAGTAAAATAAAAGAAAAGAAAGCAACCAAAGCCAAAATTTTGGAAAGTGGAATGAATGATAACTGATTATAAGGAGGGTCCAGGCAAGGGGAATAAAAAGTAAGGTGGATCTTGCTGCAGAGCACAGGAAAGACTTGGGGATGTCTCAGTCCAGAAATTTTTAAGATTTCAGGATATAGTGAGAAATAAGGTTGGTTGAAAATTTTAAATTAATAGTTTTGTCTCTAGATTTTCTTTCCATGTGTATTTCCTTAGGCCACTAAAGCCTACTTAGGACAGATTGGAAGTTTGCTTTTTGGAGAATGTGAACAATAAACATTCAGTAAAATAATGAGGTACAAGTGACAGTGAAGGTTAGGAGCCAATGGATTTAATTAAAAATTTACATACTAAATTATCAAACTCTCAACCCCCAAACTCTACCCAAAGTCTTTCAGCCTTTAAAGGCTTCACTCTTAATTAAAACCCATGAAATTGCCAATACAAAGCCTACAGTTTCTTATAGTTCACCATAACACAAATAGCTAAAGATCATTAAACATTTGAGAAGGTCCAACATATGGAAATCAGAGTCCAAAACAAACAAGAAAAAAAAAACCCAGGGACATTAAAGCAAAAGAAAACTTACAAAGAAAGGAGAACAAGGTCATATAATTTTTTGAAGTAACAACCAAATATCATGTGTAAATATTGAAAATGAAAATTATACTAGTATAAACTAACAGTTCATGAAAATAATGTTAGGGAAATCTCAAGATACAACAATGACAACAACAACAAAAGACAGACTATAATGAGAAACAGATAATAAAATTAAATAAAACCTCTAGGAAATATAGCTTTTAAAAATAGAGATTTTAAAGAGAAAATAAATTAAAGCTGTATACAGGAAATTTCTCAGACCTAAAGAATGTGAATTACCAGGTTGAAACAACACCTAAGATTCCATACATTGTTTAAAAAAAAATTCAGTCTGTGAAATGTCAGAACACCATGGATAAAGAAAAATCCTAAAAATCTTTCAGAGATGGTTAAAAAAAAATCAGAACATGTGATACATAAACTTAACTACAATATTGGAAGCTAGAAGGCAATGGCAAACTGTCTTAAAAGTCTTGAAGAAAAATTATTTCTATTGTGTAAGCCTATACCCAGCCCAACTACTAATCATTAATCTCATTAATATGAGAGAATAGAATTATTTTTAAGATATAGACTCAAGACACCTCTCTCTTGTGAATCTTTATCAGAAAGTATTTGGATAGCATTTTCCACTGAAATGAGGAGGAAAATCTAGAAGAAAATGAAGAGGAGCTTGAGGATGTTAATTAAGAGAAGCCTGAAGAAAACAGTGGCATAAGGCCCAGAGATGAAAAAAATCATTGAAACTGGAGAATACAAAGCTACAGAAAGCATAACTCAAAGAACAAAACAATATCTATTAAAATAATTATTAGGTGGAAATTTTAACTTTGTTAGAGTTAGGGATAATTTAATGATTGGTTATATAGGAAACTAAGAGGATAAAAATGAAGGCAAATATAAAGTCCAGGAAAAATAAAAATTCTGTAATAAAATGCAATTAGAATTATATTGATGATCTCTAAATAATATGTACAGAATAATGATGATATTAATTACATCAACACTGGCTAATTCTAAATGGTGAGATATCTCCGTTGGGAGAATAGGAAGAAATGAAGAGTATGTGACTGTGTTGTAGGAAGAAAAGGTGACAGGTCAGGGGTATGGAAAGCTAAATTCTCACCTTTCATCACTATAAGTTCATAGATTGTGTCTAAAATTAAAGAACCGAAATAGTAATAAAGCACATTACTTGGAAGTATAAAATTAAATATCAAAATACGTATCTAAAAGTATTACAGTATTAGTCCTACAGTAGAGAGAAGTGGAATAAAATTGGATGTGTCAGGATTCTCCTTGTTTTGTTATACACCCAATAGTGTTGTTTGATTTTTTAAATATATGCAGTACATATATTTAAGATATCTTTGAGCAGGTGTATTTTGCTTTTAATGAGTCTTCATATAGTCTTCATATATAGGAAACAACAGTCATATCTACAATTGTGCCAGGAAATTATGATCTTCACCTTTTGTTTACAAAACCACAAAGGTTTTGATGAAATATTATGGCACAAATGTTTTTTTGGGAAAAAAATGGATCCTATAGAAATTAGTTCACCAAATGCTGGCATTATTTTGTCTTTTAATCTTCATCAGCCGATGGCTGAGTGGCTCGAAAATCTTGGAACTGGATGCCAAACTAAACTAGCAACAGCCTCAGCTTCTTCTTCGTCTGCTTCCCTAGTAGTCCAGTTAAATTAGTGAAATTTAACTAAGGTTAGACTCTGTCATTTATTCTAGACTAACTCAATTTGTCCTTATTGCAGGGCAATGGCCTTATTCACTGTTTATCCAAATCGTAAGTGATGATCTAGGAATAGACATTTTATTTGAATTTATTTTGTGACCTCATGTGATCTCCTCACTAGCTTTCACTGAGAATCCCAGGATTACTTATGTTCTCAAAATTCTTTCCTCTGTTGAAAGGACACCCCCAACCTTCCCCACAAAATCTTATTCTTGGAACATATTAGAATGATAGCAATTCATAATGGAGCACAGCTATGTGTTCTATATCTTTTTGCTTCGCCTTTATCAACAACAGCTTACTTATGTCATTGATGCTTATAAAACTTCCTAATCCTTTAAGCCAAGTTAAATCATTTGTTACAATTATTTTCTACATGAGTGATTTCTGTACATTATTTCATATTACCAAACACATATTCACTCTTGTTTCAAATTTATTTACAGGCAGCTTCATGAAGCCTTATTGGCCTTGCATTCTAGTGAGAATGACTACAAATAATGTATTCAAAAAGAGATTTCTAAAATTTGTTGTTCATTTTAACCTAAATGAAATTCTGATAATATAATCAACACCTACTTCATCTTCAAAGTACACTCAAAGGTTGATGGTTCCTTCTGTAGCCAATAATGTAGATTAATCTATATTAAGGAAGGTGGTTCTTATCCACATGAACCATTGCTATGTAAATTTTATTAGAATATTTTGTGACCTTCTCAAATAATACTTGCTCACAAGAAACAACCCTCCCTCAAAAGAAGAAAATTAAAGAGATGTTACTGTTTGTTTCATTATATCGATTTTCTATATTTGGACATATTATGATACAAGTTTTCAGTAAAAGAAAAGGCCAAGCTGATATATCCTTTTTTTTTTTTTTTTTGCAAATTCAGAATTCATTACAATTTGGATTACTGCAAACAAAAATTATATCAAAATGTAGCCACAGAGGCAGGATGTCAGAAGGGGACTAGATAGGACTGAGAGTCCAACTGAGGGCAAGTAGAAGAGTGACAGGAAATGACTCTGGGTCATCAAACACACTGAAGGATTAATGATCACTTTACCAGCCATTTCTGCATATTAACTCACATTAAGAATGGGAAGTTCTAACACAACCTCAGATCTTACTACAACCTTTTTTTTTTTTTTTTTTTTTAGAATTCTTTATGACAATGCAAAATGAGGGAAAGGAAAACTACATGGGCAAAAAATCAGTTATGGACTGCAAGAGCTGTACTTTAGCATGAGCACAGAATGCTTGGTGAGAAAAGGGAGAACGAAAAAAGGTCTGAAGGAGGAAAGAGAAAGGGCTGTCAAAGGCCTTTGGCATGAAAACAAATGAGAACAGTGGATTATAGGTTATAAATGTACATGTATAGTATCTGAAATAAGAACTGACCTAAAACACCTGGAATCTGTAGTTACTACTTATAGGAGAATCAGAATATGAGATTACAATTGTTCAAAGACCAAAGTATCATTTTGTACAGTGTCTTTTAAAATGTACCTTAAAGAAGACCTACATCAAAATCTAATACTTTTTTGATTTAAAATATTCTCTGGAATTAATTTTATGAATAAGTTATAAACAAAATAACTTTTGTTTTACTTTGTTTAATTGACTTAGAGCCCATTTCTCTTCATGAGTGTGGTCTATATTCTATGATGTCAGCAAAATTTACCAGTATAATGACTCCTTTACACAAGTTTTGATGCCCCTACCAAAATCCAAGAAGGCATCATCTTATGCAAATTTCTTTTTTCCATATTTGTCCTTAATGACTGCAAAAATAGACAGTATCAGAATTTCTATGACACATCCACGACAGCATCTGTTTCAGTTTGGCACTGCCTACTAAATCCTTTCTCAGCAGGGTGCAAAACTTAAAGGAGACATATTACAATTTACAAAAAACTAGTGTCTTTTTAAAACTAGTTAAGCTACTCTTTGAAATCACAGTGTAATGTTTAATAATACATTAAAAAAACAATAAAGGAAACTATGTTAGAGGATTGAGAAAAAAACACAGTACACTACAAAGAGGGGCATAAATATAGATAGGCTGATGGGAAATAAAACCCACCTTCTACTTAGTAGCTGTTATGTTCTTGACTGTGAGTTCTTGAGACCACAAGTCCTTGATTGCTGCACACAGAACCATCTCACAGAGCAGCACCATCTGGTGACAGAATGAATAAAAACCACAAATAGGGCTGATTAAATCTGCCTGAATTCTACAGCCAAAGATGGAAGAGGAGGAAGAAGGCAGTTACATTCTCTCATATTTCTCTGTCATTTACATTTAATTCTAACAAACCTTTTCAAAATTAGCTTTTTTCCTATTGACAGATTTTTAGAACATCCAATTTTTTAAATTCAGGTTTGTTTATTTTTTTGAAAGAGAAGTAGGTGTATTTTGAGGTATTTTTAAAGCTTGTAATATTTCCAAAGATGTTTTCACTACCTCTTAGGACTCAAAAAGTCATTATTTCTTATTTATTCGGAAAAAGAAAATCCAGTGTTTTTAAGATTTTTACCACTTAGAGATAGAACTCTGTTTTTTTCAAAACATTTTATTATTTAATTTTAGAATTTTCCATTTATCTTTAATGTGAAATACAAAGATGCTTGAAAAGTCAAAGCAATGTAATAACAGCATTTTGGAAAATTCAGTTAGACAAGAAACTTCCAAACAAGTTATCTAAAGAACAGCTACTTTCTCAACAGGCTAAGTGCAATCATGAATAGAGCATAGATCATTTCTCTACAAACCATTTCATCAGTTTAAAGCAAAGACAAGAAAAGCCTTTTTGGTTTTGGTTTGGTTTGATGTGTTATTATAAACTGTTCCATTATCCTATTGGTATTTAAATGTTTGTTGTTGTTGTAGTAGAAGAAAGATGAAGTCCAGGTTTTAAAAGACTTTCTTGCCTATTCTGTCACTTTAAAGTCAAGAGCTTTTCTAAACTCTCTGGCTGACCTCAAATAAGAATTTCTGAAAGGGATGGTCCTGTCGCTCTAGAAACCCATTAGGCTACAGCACCAAGCTAATCCTGTGAGTGTTGGATTGCCCAGCAGAGGTGCAGCAAATTTGGTCTCTCTGCTGAAATGGAATTCCTGTGCTTCTAGTGCAGGAGAATAAGGGATTCTCTACTGACCAAGAAATCGCTGCACTACATCTGGGGAATGTGGTGACTTCTGAATTCTTAAATTCCTTCACCTATTTCATTTAAACTATGCAGTAACAGAAAAGCACAGGAGACTACAACAAGTAAAACTAACTGGATTTCATTCATTCATTTCTTGAAGTACACACTCAACAACATTAAACAGATAGTGCTTAGTAGTAGAAAACTAATAAAAAAATAAAAGGTATCCATAACCTCCGCTGTCATGGAGTCTATTATCCGGAGATGGAAGTAGACATTAAACATTAATCAAATACTTCCAAATTCATTATTTCTGCATTTGTTTAAACCATAAGAAAGGAAAGCACAAAGTGAGAGAGTGGCTAGAAAGGGAGACCTGTCCTTTTGGATGCAGTTTATGAAGTGCCTTCTCATGTGAAAGTTCACTAAGCTCAAAGGACAGTGCTATGAGCAAGGGAGGGCAGTTATTAATGTCATTGTACTGATGAAAAGCCAGAGCTCTGAGGCTAAGCATGTCTTACAAGGTCACATACTAACGAGACACAGTGCCAGGAGTAGGGCTCAGGTCTTTCTTTCCAATATTCTTTTCCTTATATCACCCTGACTGTCATCTTAATGAAGTCATTTTTGAAAATAAAACATTTGACTTCAACAAACTTTTGCTGAAAAAATGGCACTTTATTAACATAGGCTTTTTATACTTAAATCACATTCCTGAAGTTACTCAGCTTTTTTCAACCTAAAAATAAAGGCAAACTGGGGGAAAATATCTCCCAACCTCAGATTTTAAAAGAGCTCCATAACTAACACTTTAGTAAAAAACAACTCCTAAGATTTTTCTGCTCTTTTCTTTCCCCAAAACTGAAACACACAGAAATAATCACATTAAGCATTATGAACATAACTGGAGAATTTTCATTGCCTGTAAGTTGAGCAGAGAACTGGAAGTTCTACTTTCTCCTTTTTAAGTTCTTATGTTATAAAAGGCGTAGATTATATACTTAATTTTTTGAAATAAATTCAAATAATGGAAAAAGATGTAGGAAAAACATTAGTTCCTCTTTCCCCTCAATCCATTTCCTTTGTCAGAGGTAAACAGTGTTAATACTGTTATAGTGGTTAGTAAAGTTTGTTTTATGTGTTAGTTTTTACCAATAGGGATGATCCCATATATGTTAGCAATTTACCTATTTTCACTCAACAGTATACATGAACATACTTACATGGTAATTTATACAGATAGTCCATATTGTAACAAAAACTGAATATTTTACAATATTTATATATCATAATTTTTATTAACCATTCCCATCAGTGTACTTTTAGTACTTTATAATTTCTTGATAGTATAATGTCATAACAAATATCTGTATATTTTTGTGTATACATATAAGTATGACTACCACAAAATAGATATCACAGCTCAGTATCTGTACTGTCCTGTACAGTATCTGTACTGTAGATATTGCAGGGCAGTATCTGTACAAATAGCTTTTTAGGGATTACATTTCCTCCAAAATGTCTTGCCCTACAAGCAACCTGGCATGTGACTGCAATCATTTTCCATTTTTATAATTTCCAAATTTATAATTTGATGGCAAGAATAATATTTTTATTGTCATTTAGTTTACATACATATGTTTAGTAGTGAAATTAAGTGTCTCACACATGACTTTTATTAGCAGTATTTTTCTCTCTCCATGTATGTTGCCCACTTTTGCATTTTTTATTGTTGTACAGGACTTTTTTCTTATTAACTTGAAAGATCTCTTTGTAACTTATAGATATGTTTGTACACATATGATGTTTGTTGAATATTTTCTCCAAACTTGTCAATTGTGTTTTTAATTCTATTTACATTGCTTTGCACCATAGAAATGTTTTCTATGCATTTTACATTTTAGGCTTGGTAGTGGCTATTTCTTATTTTTACTCGGTTGCTTTGCCTATCTAACATTCAATCCATATATTCAAGTAAAACATCCTGATTTCCTTTAGGATAATTTTCTATTCTTCATTTGATAGTTTGATGACACTGTTAATCAAAGTACCCTACCCTCTTATAACCTGCATGCTGAATTGAGATTTATACTTTCTAACTGTACAAAATTCATTGGTTTTGCAATAAATAGCATTCATTTGCTTTGCTAAAGGCACAAAACCTCTGCATCATCATCAGTCTGCCACAAGTTAACTTCTGTTTCTACAGAGCTGCTTAACACATTGGCCAGAGATAATCAAATGTGCACTTAATAGAAAAATTACGCTTCTGACTAACATAATGCAACCATCACCCATAAATCAACCATATACTAAGCTTCTCTCCAAAAATCTCTAGAAAATTTTTCAATACATATAGTAGAGCTCTGAATTTTGTGAGATTTCCTATCTTCTGGCATATCCATGTTTTACCAAAAAGTTTTAAGTAGCTCTTATTTCATGCTCTCCAGGTCCAAACAGGATCATAGCATCAATATAACAGGCTAATATGATGTCTCCTAGAAGTAAATGGTAATCCCCTGAAAATGAAATTATAAATAAGAATTATGGAGTTGATATAGCCCTAAAATAGTGTTATGGCTTGTGTCTAGATGTTTCCCCAAAGCCTCAATGCAGTCTTGGGTGGGGCTTTTCAGAAGTGGCTGGATCTGGGATGTGTATTGTTAAGGATGCTAGGATTAAGGGTGAGTGCTACCCACCATAAGGGTGGGTATCATGGATAAGATCTAAAGGACAGAGGATCCCTGTTTTGTCTCTTGTCACTTGCTTGCTGCTTGCTTCCTTCTGCCTTCTCTGCTTTGCCATGGACTGTTTCTACTCTGTGATGCCCCTCTGCCATGCCACCCTGATTTGGAGCCAAACAACTCTGAATTGGAACTTCTACAAACTGTGAGCTAAGTAAACCTTTCCTCCCTTTAACTTTGGATGTTGGGTATTTTCTCTCAGCACCAAAAAGAAAAAGTAACTAAAACAGATGGATAATGACAGTATCATTTGGCCCTGACTGATGAATACAAACAGCTTCCATGATAGTAGAATGTATCTTCAGAGGATGAAATATTTGCCTAGTCAATATCCCTATGCCTAAGAACCAGGGGTTATATTCATTTACTTCAGCAACAAAAAATCACATTTTGTTCAGCAGCAACAATTAGAGCTAACAGGTGATTAAATTTATTGTAATCCACTATTATTCCTCAAGAATCTTTCTATTTGGACAGGTTACAAAATAAGTTAAATAGGACTATGGCAGGAATCATGACTTCTGCATCTTTCAGACACTTGGTGGTGTCACTAATCTCTACAATTCCGCCCAGAAATGCAAGATTATTTTTGGTTTAATATCTTTGTATGCAAAGCTAGGTCTAGTGGCTTCCAGATATCATGGCATTTTTGTATCATAATAGCCAATATAAAGTGTAGGGAACCGGGAAAGGGGACGTTACTAGAACCTCTGCAGTAAATCCTAGTCTCCTGTAAGCCACGGCAGCACAAGGTGAATTAACTTATTAGACAGGAAAAATAGAAGAAATAAGACAGAGAAGAAGCTGAGCTTTGGGCCTGATCAGTGCTACTCTGGGCAGCAAAGATGAAAGCCCCAGAGCTTGCCACACCTTTATTCGATACATCAGGAGAAACAAATGTAACTGATGACTCAGGGCAGAGAGTTCAGTACATGGAGAGTAATAAATGTAAAAGGTCACTCAGGGGGCAGCAACATGAAAATCCTAAAACAATGAGGAACTATGCAGATGAAGATTTTGTTCCTCCCAGGATGTGTTCAGCTGGTGTAATCTTGTCCTGGAGCATCACAGCATCACTGGATCATTAAGGTCTAGCTATGACCAGAGGTGAAGATGGAGTTATGTCTCAACATACTGTAGCTGACCTATAGGCAGGAAAACTAGGCCCTAATCATGATTTAATTGTGAAATGATTTTTCCCCACAATTACATAGAATTGCTCCCGATAATAAAGATTATTAAAATTTTTAATTTTATCCATTCCAACTATATAATTTTGAAATGGG